GCTCCAGCCGGGGAGCTCACAGAGCCCAGTCCAGAGTCTGCTCCAGCCGGGGAGCTCACGGGGACCGTTGCGGAGCAATCTGGTTCTCCTGTTGCAGCCGTTGAGGCTGATACTAAGCTCTCTCTGCTCTTGTTTTCAGGTACTCCTGAGTGGCTGAGAGGGGTTGCTGTTCCACCAATGTTGTCTGACAGGACTCCGGCTCCGTCCTGGTTGCCCGCCTGGGGTTTGGTGTGGCAAGAGCCTCACTGGCTCATTCCTCCAGCTCCGTCTTGGCTGTCTGCTGGGGTTCCTGTATGGTTGGGGCTCTGCTGGTTCGTCCTGCCGGCCCCGCCTTGGCTTTCCACCCTGCCGGTTCCGCTCTTATACCCTGGGCTACCTCTGTTCCCTGACCCCCTTCCTTGGCATGGTCCTGGCCCGCCATCCCTTCCCCTGGTCCGCCTCAGTTCCACCACCCTCCTGAACTTTTTTGTTTTCTGGTGGAGCGTCTGGTATCCGCTCCGTAGAGGGGGGGTAATGTCACAGTGTCTGGTTGTAGTGCCCTGGACTGGGCACTTGAGGGCACTCTCCTGTTTCTATGTTTTATGTATTCAACTCCATTTCCCATAGTCCCCTGCCTGTCATCCTGTTTGATCGTTAGCACCTGTTATCAGTTTCAATCATTTGCACCTGCCATTTACTCATTATCCTGTCTATATATACCATGCTCACTCTGTCTGTCTTTGCTGCTAGATTGTATTGTCTTCTGAGTTCATAGTTGTCTCATGTTCATCGTGTTTTCTGTTCTCTGTGTCTTGGATTACCTTTTGCCACGTTTTTGTTCTGTTCTGTTCATTTGTTACTTTCATTAAACTGCAAATGGATCTTACTTTGTCTCTCCTGGCATTCCGTGACAGAATCTAGCAGCCACTACAAGATCCAGCAGTTTGTTTTTCTTTTTCCCTTTTTTTAAAATGGACATTCGGATTGTCCCTCATGCCACAGGGAAGGAGCGAATGGATCGATACCGGACTCTGATGGCTCGGAGGCAGCAAGGAATGGAGGTTGGTGGTTTTGCCCAGACCTTTTGGATGCTGGCGGTGGGGCTGAATTATAATGAGGCTGCACTTAAGGACCTCCTTAACATCTGTCTGGATAATCCTTTGCCCCAGTGGGAGGTGGAAGGACTCGAGATCCTAGACTTCTGGGGCTTCGTCAGGTATCTCCAGGGTCGAAGTCAGTGGGCAATACCAGGCCAGTCAGAACCCTTCTGCAGGGATTTTCCCACCACCTCTATCCTTCAGACTCCCACTAAGCGGCGGAGGGTGAGAAGGAGGACAGGAAAGCCCACTCCAGAGCCCGCTCCAGTCCGGGAGCTCACAGAGCCCGCTCCAGTCCGGGAGCTCACAGAGCCCGCTCCAGTCCGGGAGCTCACAGAGCCCGCTCCAGTCCGGGAGCTCACAGAGCCCGCTCCAGTCCGGGAGCTCACAGAGCCC